ATATTTATAATTTTCACATGTTAAAATTCTTTTTCCATTTGTAAATGCTATCTTGTGGGAATGGGGTTTATTCTAAAAGAAGTATTTTCTAGAAAAATCAAAATTTAATACCCTTAGCATCCCCTTTGTTTAATCTCAAGGGATGGATCATAAAGTTGTTTAACACAGCATTAACAAGTAAAGATAACTTTAGAACAATTTTCACTGGGCATAGTGACACACACATGTAACCCCAGTACTCGGGAGGCTGAGAGCAGGAGGATCATTTCAAGTTCAAGGCCAGCCTGGGCTACTGGTAAACTCGGTACCAGCCTGAACAACAAAATAAGACCCTATCTCAAAAAACAACAAATGGGCTGGGGGTTTGGCTTAGTGTTTCCGCTGCCTCACAAGTACAAGGGCCTGAGTTTGATCCCTGGTACCAAAAAAATAATAATTTTAATCCTACCAATAATATACAGATTTATTGTCCTTATTAATGGAGAAAAGGCTGAAGTCCTTGTGGGCACCCATGCATATGTACTCATACTATATTTTGTTGTAAGAAGCAATTAAAATGGTTTAAAATGCCGGGTGTGGTGGCACACTCCTGTAATCCCACCACTTGGGAAGCTGAGGCAGGAGGATCGCTGTGAGTTCGAGACCAGCCTGGGCTACATAGTTCCAGGTCAGTCTCAACTATACAGTGAGACCCTGTCTCAGGAAAAACCCCCCCCAAAAATAAAAAAATAAAATGGCTTACAATAGCAATTCTAATTTATAATCCCAATTGGGACACATTCTTAACAGACTTTTTTGCGGTGCTGGGGATTGAACCTAGGGTGGTGAGGGCTCGGTTTGGAGACTGAGTGCCCAAATTGCAACCCCAGACCCAGCTATTTATCGCAAAGTGCCAACACTGTAGTCAAACCTGAATGCTGTGCTGTAGTTTAGAAAAAAAACAGCTGTTTTCCAATGCTTGGCTACTGGGAGGACTTGGCTTGCGAGCCGGTAGCTAGAGCTCTGTGTGCCTAGCGCACACACATCTTGGGCTATCAAGCCTGCCTGCCGGCAACTGCTGTGCCACTGAGCATATCCCTAGCTCAAAGCCAAGACACTTGGGGAAAAAAGGGTTTGTTATTAATTATATAAGGACAGCTAGCCCAAACCAAAGCTGTAGCAGAGATTGCAACTTTAATGGCTTTCAAAATTTTAAAAAACAAAACCTATACACCACAGTAAAAAATGCATTGACAGCACACATATAGTTTTTGTGTGTACATAAATATACATATGTTTTTTAGTTTAAAAGGTAAAAGTATGACGTGGAAGTTACTCATCTCATTTTCTTTCTTTCGCTCTTTCTTTTCTTTCTTTTTTGTACCAGGAATTGAACTTGGGCCCTTGAGCTTACAAGGCAGGTGACACCACTGAGCTAAATTCTCGGACCAAAATTGCTCATTTTCTTGTTTTTTCTGTATTTTTTTGTGCTAGTGATTGAGCCCAGGGCCTTTTGCATGCTAGGCAAACTTCCATTTCATTTTTTAAATGTATATTTTAAACAATTTCAGTATGCACAGTTTGAAACATACTCATGCTTGCACCACCATGTTCAGCTTGAAATAATTTTCAAACCTAGAGGGCCGGGGATTTAGCTCAGTGGTTCTGCCACCTGCCTCACAAGTGCAAGGTCCCGAGTTTGATCCCCAGTACCAAAAAACAAAAAATGAAAAAAAAACCTAGAAATGAGCTGCATTAGACCTTTCACACAGATTATACCCAGACCTACTTTACCTGTTGTTCTCTATTTGTTTTTTCCTGAATAATTTTGAGAATGAGCTACATAGGTCCTGTCCCTTCACCTGCTATGGATGTAAGCCTGTGTTTCCTAAGAACAAGGCGTTCATTTATGTATTTCCTGTACAACCACAGTTGAATTATCAAACTAAAAACAATGTAGCATTGATACAATGCTATCTAAGGTATAAGCTGTACTAGAATCTGACCCACGGTCCCAATGAAGGTCTTTACAGAAAATATTTCCCAGTCCAGGACCCAGTCCAGAATCAGGCACCACATTTAGTTGTTAGATCTTTTTTATTTTTCCCCCAGTATTGGGGATTAAACTCAGGACTTTCACACCCAGATACATACACACACACACACACACACACACTTTGTTTTCTTTTGAAGTTTTGATAACAGGGTCTCCCTAACTTGCTAAGTTGTCCCTGCTGGGCTTGAACTTTTGATCCTCCTGCCTCAACTTCCTGGGAGTACTGGGAATACAGGGTGTGCACCACTCTGCCTGGCTTTGGATGGATATTTTGTTATTTTGTTTTTTGAGACAGGATCTTATTTATTTATTTATTTAGGTACTGGGGATTGAACTCAGGACCTTGTGATTGCAAGGCAGGGAGAGGAACCACTGAGCTAAATCTCCGGCCCCTTTTGAGATAGGATCTTGCTATGTAGTTCAGGCTGGCCTTGAACTCAGTGTGGAGCCCAGGCTGGCCTTGGAGTCCAGATGGCTGCTGTCCTCCTGCCTCAGCCTCCTGAGTGCTGGGATTATAGGCATGCGCCACCACGCCCTGCTGGATGAATACTCTTGTATCCTGTGCTTGAGTACATTTCTGGATTCAGTGATTATTGTCTGGTACTGATCTGAGTCAAGGAAGACACCCAAATGACATTCCTCAAGTCTGTGACAGCAAGGTTGATTTCTGGTCTTGAGTGGGAGCCTTCTGCCTTGGGATTCTGTGGATTTGAATAATCCCAACTGCATCTGGCACACATAAAAAAAAAAAAAGATTTATTAGGGCCAGGGATTTAGCTCAGTGGTTCCAGCGCCTGCCTGGCAAATGCAAGGACCCGAGTTCGATCCCTGGTACTAAAAAAAACAAAAAAGGACTAGGATTTTGGCACTGATACTCACAGGGCTGTCTGAGAACTTTCCACAGTGATGGAAATGTTCCATAA